TGAATTTGGTTTTTAATTTTTCACTTACAATTTTAGGTTATTCGAGTTCCGTAAAATTATATCTCGACGGGAGACGTGCTATAAATTAATACCTCAAGATTATCCGGTAGAAATTGTTAAAAATGAAAAATATTCTGATTGTTCCATTTTGGAGGGAAAATTTATGACGCCTTTTGAACTACATTTACCCGGTGTAGTCCCAAAAGCCGCTAAAGAAGCAAATTTTCAAGTGATAATACCAAAAAAATGGAACGACGAACGTTTCAAGCCAATGTGCATCCACTTAGCTGGCACTGGAGATCACGTATGTATTTTAATGGCTAATAAAATAAGTCAATGTTTTTAGTAGATAGAAATTAATAACCCGGTTTCGGGGTTATAAACAAGTTAAGGCTGTCTTAAGTATATAATTACTATTTAATTAAATGGAAAGGTGTATGCACATCGTTGTATTGTATACAACGTCTACAAAATTATAGTTTAAGCAACGAGGCTTTCCTTATATTTTCTAGAAGGTCTACCAGTTGTTATCTCAAAAGATAGGCTCTCAAATTCGAAATGATCATTTGTACCATAAACCCATTTTCTTTAACAATTACAATGTTTAAGATTATTATTTTTCAAATACATATGCAAATCCTTACTTAACTTCGACTGAATTATTGATATTAGCATAATTACAAATTATAGTTATTTTAATTTTCTCCTTGCAGTTTTATTGGCGAAGAAGAAATTTTATTGCGAAACCCCTACTTAAGGATGCCAATATTGGAGCCATAATATTAGAAAATCCGTTTTATGGAGTAAGGAAGCCCGATCAACAAGTGTAATAAATATATTTTGCATAATTCGTTAGCGTACCAATTCGTTTTCGGTCTTACTCTGCATAACAGTCGTGGGTGTTAATTTAAGTTATTGCCTACTTGGAATAATTTTTATTTGCCTCATAAATTATTATTTGAACAAATATACTATATATGTACTCGCACATAAGATTAATATAAACATTTTAGGCGCTCTAATTTACAAAATGTATCTGACATATTTGTGATGGGTGGATGTCTAATACTCGAATGCTTGGTTTTACTGCATTGGTGCGAAAGGAATGGACTTGGGCCACTAGGCATAACTGGGTTATCCATGGGTGGGCATGTATGTAAGCTCATGATTATGATTTTAAATCTTTCAATACGTTTTGTTCATTTTAGATGGCTTCATTGGCGGCCACAAATTGGCCAAAACCTCTTGTGCTGGTCCCATGCCTTTCATGGTCTACTGCTGCGCCTGTATTTACAACTGTACGTGTGTACAAAGAAAAAATAGATTCCTTGATTAGAAAATTAAAACAGTATATGGATACACATACTTTTTGTTAATTTTTCATTCCTTTTATCTTCCTCAAGGGCGTGATGAGTCAATCCATAAATTGGGATATGCTTGAAACGCAATACCATTCCGATGGTAAATATAGTGAACGTTTGTCAAAGATGGTTACTGTAGTGGATGATGCTTTTGCGGCTGGCCAAAAATTTATAAAAAATTTTAACCAATCATTGCAAGCGCTCAAAAACGATATCAGTGATACAAGACACGTTCAGGAGCAAGTGTCTGATAAAATAGGCAATAAATTCATAGAAATCAACAATACAAATAAGGCAGAAAGCAATAATTCAATTTTCCTAAATTCAAACATGAGAAAGGATGTTGTCAGCAATAAGGGCAGTCTCCAGTTTATGAGTGAAAAATCAAATAAGGCACTGAAAACTGTACTTCAAGTGCAGAAGGAACAATCAGCTTTAACAAAACTAATGAAGTTTATTTTACCAATGGCAGCACAAAGTGACAATAAACGAATAGATATAACAAAAACAAATTGGTGGGAACGGGAAGCGTTGCAATTCATGCGTGGCATGATGGATGAATGCACACATCTAAAAAATTTCTCTGTACCTTTTGATACATCTTTAATAATAGCTGTTTGTGCCAAGGATGATGCTTACGTGCCACGTGAGGGGTGCACAGGACTTGAAGAAATTTGGCCTGGAGTGGAAGTACGATATCTTGATGCAGGCCACGTGAGTGCCTACGTCTTGCATCAGAAGCTATTTAGGTGATTCGACATTATCTATAACAAAAAATGTTATGCCACTTTCTTACAATTTCAGATGTTGTATAATTGAGGCGTTCGAGAGATCAAAGAGTATTTACAATACGGACAACGGAAGGATAGGTGAAGATCTGAAACCAACGTTAACATATAAGGAGCTTGTTAACAAATATACAAATTCAATTTAATATTTTTATGATGATATACACAGTTTTTATTAACCGATTTACTCAAACGCAAATATAATGTTAAGCCATTTTTATTACCTTGTTGTGTGAATGAAATTTTGCGGTATGAGCGCTGTAACAGAGTTTTGTAAAAAGTTAAAGTTTAAAATTTTAATATATTATTTATATATGCTTTTTTGTGTTTGGAAAATATTTATGCATATAACGCATCTTTAACATACTTAGGGAAATCTATATACACATTTCTTTTAAATGTGGATTTGGGATATGTAGATGATTTCGTTTTTAATTTCTGCAACTATTAAGGAATATGAGTATTTTAAGAAGTACACCCTCAGCCTCATTGCGTAAGTCGTAAATTAGGCTAAATTGTACTACTCGACAACAGTAGCATTGTCTACATGAACCAAAAAGACAAGATCACGCGGGCAGGAGAGTAGCCCGTTAGAATCGCATTTAGGAAAAAAGTTTACCGATTTTGACATTAGCCGTTTGTTTACATTTCTTCGTTGTTTACAATTTGGTGGTGGCTTTTTACTGCAATTTTCTTCATTTTCGCCTGTGACAACGTGTGTACACATAAGATAAAGAATAATTTAACACAACGGCATGATTTATAGAAGAATTTGCATAATAAAAATGATTATTCATGCGTTCAACAATTTCGCGGTTTTCTCCGTTCTCTTCGTTGTTTACTTCTTACAACAAAGATGGCGTCGAGATTTCGGCAGCTAGAAAATAACGTTTTTCTTTCTTTCCTTCCCGCGTGATCTTGTGTCTTTCGTTCATGCATTGTCTATTGTCGTACTGAAATAAGTAAACGACCAAATTCGTCGGAAACTATACAGGTTTTTTCGTTTTAATAGTGGTACAAAGCTCAATAAAAAATATTCAAAATGATAAATTTATCATTTTGATAAATGATCTCTTAAACTTTGTATGGAAATCTATTTAACCTAAGTTTATAACTTTATCAAACGATTTTGGTGAATAAATGTATAAATAACAGCAAAATTCAACCCTAACAGGTTGCCAGGTGGTCGCTTTTGCTACGAAAACATAAAAAGCGGAACAAATACACAATACCTACAATTCTCGAATTAAAAAAAAAAAAATAGGATCGATAGAGACCATTGAGGTGGACATAACGATATATATATTTTTCTTGGGAAACAACAACTACAACAATTATTAAAAGTCAAAGTTCAAATTAAGCATTTTTTTAAATTAATATTTCTCGAAAAAGTGTACAGTGTTTTCGTGTATAAACTTCTTTTTGCGTAGGTGCCATTCGGCCGCACTTATGGATTGTAACCCTCACTAAGTAGAATTCTCCTTTCTGTAGTGCCATAAAAAGAAGCCGAAGTATTTCTGCGAAGAACTTCTTTCTGAATAGGCGGCCTTCGGCCGCACTTAGGGATTATAACCCTCACAAAGTAGAATTCTCTTTCTGTGTTGCGAAGAACAGGCGCTGAACACCTTATTTTTATATATATGTATATCAAATTAAAGAGAATTAAATTCTCTATCAAATTACATCAAAATTTTCCAAATCCTTGAAGAGGTTTACGAGAAATATTAATTTAAAAAAATGCTTAATTTGAACTTTGACCTTTAATAATTGTTGTAGTTGTTGTTTCCCAAAAAATATATATATATCGTTACGCTCATCGCAATGATCTCCATCGATCCCAATATGAATTTTTTTTATTTGAGAATTTTAGGTATTCTACATTTATGCCATTTACCAAGGTGTGTTCATGAAAGAATGGGGATAAACCATGGCACAATAAACAGGTAGAACCATGGGATAAACAGATAAATTTACGCAATTTATCCCTTTATCACTTTACATGAAGACCCCTATTAAGTTTTACGGCAAGTTTTCCAAAGAATTTTGGATTCACATGAACACAACCAACCGATTAACATTAGACTCGATAAATTGGTCGTTCATCGATAGATGCTTGAAAGTGTTGTCGGCGGCTTGTGTAACCAGCGGAAGATGCCATTTTGTCAATCGAATAAGATCTGGAAAGAACACCATTGCGATACAGCAGAAAAGAATTGGGAGTGATTTTTTACCATCCATCACTCAAAATTAACAACAGAGTAGTTGAAAGAGTCCCTAACATCTAGAAAAACACCAACATTGTAAAAAGCTAGCGAAAATTCGTCGAAATCCGGTTAATAAGAGGATAGAAAAAAAGTAGATACGGAATTTTTGTGAGCTGAAAACATGGCAGACTCAGACAAACAGCTACCGATTGAGCAGCAACAGCAACAACACCAGCAGGATGTCCAACAAGGTGATGCTGCTCAGACCCAATTGAAGTCGCTGCCACCAAAAGAAATCATTGGTAATTTTTGCAAATTATATGACGTGACATGTGTTGGCTAGTATTGGTTAACAAGAGGGTGGCGGGGTGTACGTTATGGCAACTATTTTTTTTTTCTTTTTGTTGAACAAAAACTAAGGTGTAACAAGGCTATTGAAAATGATTAATTAAAGATATGCATAGCATGTTTTTTCACACTGACATACATATTTGCATCGTGCTATGGCGCTGAATATAGAAACATTTCACCTAAATACACGCACGACGCCATTTTGTTGGTGCAATGTACGCGATCGCCGGTGCGTGAAAGTTCTGTTCGTCTACCACCCGGTCACAGCTGTCTTTTTTTTTTTTTTTTTTTTGTTTTTCAAAACAACGTGGTTAACAATTTAAATTTAAACCATGATTTTTTTTTAGTCACATAAATGAATGTGAATGAAATTATTTAATTTAATTTTTCAATTTTTAGCTACCAAAGTAACAGGCACCGTGAAATGGTTCAATGTAAAGAGCGGTTATGGTTTCATCAACCGAAATGACACCAAGGAAGATGTGTTTGTTCATCAGAGCGCCATTGCAAGAAACAATCCGAAAAAGGCAGTACGTTCTGTTGGCGACGGAGAAGTTGTGGAATTCGATGTAGTCATAGGCGAGAAGGGCAATGAGGCTGCTAATGTGACTGGTCCATCCGGTGAACCGGTACGTGGTAGTCAATTTGCAGCAGACAAACGTCGGAATTATCGTCCATGGAATAATCGCAATCGCCGCAAGCCACAGGGTGGACAAGGACCTGACGGCAATGTACAACAGGGTGCCGAAGGTGAAGTCAGACCGGACGGTCAACAACAACAACAACGTCCGCAACGCAATTATCGCCGTGGAGGTGGTCCTGGTGGTCCTAGTGGCCCAGGTGGTCGTGGCGGTCGTGGCCGTCGTTTCAACAATTACTTTCCCCGAAACCAAGGTGGTAGACGCTCAGGTGGCGGCGAAGGGGGATTGATAGAGGGCGGCAATGACCAGAACGCTGACTCCACACAAAGGGGCGGTGATGGTCAAGGTTTGCCCGCACGACGTGGAGGCCCACAAAGACGTTTCTTCCGTCGTAACTTCAACAATGGCGGCGGACGACGTGGTCCACGCGGAGATGAAGGTAAGCAGAAACAGAAGGAGGACGAGTTTAAATTTTAGTCACCAGAACACAAATACGTTACCCTACTAGCGATTTTTTTTTTACTCAATTATTATTTTTTCATCTCTGGTGATTGTTTTACAGGCAATGGTGGACAAGGTCCTCCGCGCAACAATCGCCCAAGACGAAACCGTAAAACTAGCGGCGCTGGAGGTGCCTCTGGAGGCGAAGGCCAACATCAGCAGCCTCAGCAGGTAAACTGAATTGCTAAATACAGCGAACCACATGCAGTTGGCGGGTGTGGCAGAATATTAGAATTGGTGGTGATCAAATGGTGTCACAAACCTACTACATACATACTACATATATAAATATATATATATATCACCCACGTAAAACTATAAAGAGTAACGTTTACAAGTTCAGTTAAATTATCAACCATTAATTGATATATCTTGCTTTGCAAAAATTTATAAATAATACTGCCAAACTGCAGCTGTAAATTTTAATTTTACAAAAGTCATCAAACAATACTCATTGGAGTATAATTTGGATCGGTCAACGTACATACATGCCCGGATCGAATATTCGTTAATGCAACTACTGCTCTGCATATAGTTTTGTTTTCATTTGTTAAATATATTCATACATGACTTGTTAATTTATAAACATACATATTTTCGTACTCATGCAGTAACCCACAGGAGCACCAACATAAACATGCATAACTCATAAACACTCTTGTTTGTTTTCTTAGATTTTATATTGATTTTTCTTTATTTTGTTTTCCTTTCGGTATAACCCTCCATTGTTTTACCCGAAATACTTCCTACGCCTCTGCAAAAAAAAAAAACGCCAACTCGAACAACTCAACCATCCACGTCCCGACATCCAAATATCCCGTCGCTATACCGACCTAACTTTCGCTCATCAATTTGAATATGATCGCATGTAGGATGTTGGTCACGAAGTGCAGAATACAACAACTGAAAGTACAGCATAAAACTGTTTGCGATTGGGTGCCTCCAATGCGATTCTACACTGAACAACCAACCAACCATTATGTTACAGGAGCGGAATCGAGCTGTTTAAGTAAAGCTCGTTTGAATTAACCAAATTAATTTCGTCTTCGTTTATAGAACCGAATCCATTGGAACGCATTACAGACTACTAAAAAAGATAAAATCTAAAAACAAAATGTTATCAACGTAACGCACGTATGTAAATCGATTATATCTGCTATGCGTAAGAAAATTAAAAGAAAAAAGCAGAACTGCGTAACACCTTGTACACAAATAAACGTTTTAAGTTGCATTTTAGCGTTTCAGATATCCACTTTAATTAGACTGATGGTAGTAGAAGTAAAGTAGCAGTCGAAAATATTTAAACCTTCCTTTTGGTCCTATTTATTATTATTTTTATCGTATCTGTAAAATTTTACATATCGCACACCTAGATCTGAAGTGCGATCAACTCAAAAAAATGTATGGCGATTTTTTTTGCATAAATAAATTCAGACTTACATTCAATTAATGCGAATAATTTTTCTTCATGATTATATACATCAACTAAAAAACCACTGTTATACGTGTTTTTGTATTAATTGCGTTGAATCTGTATTATCCACAAGCAGTTATATTTCCCCGTCTGTATTTTGAGTTGGCTCACTTTAGATCTAGGTGTGCGATATGATCGTCATATTGTTCATTATATTATATTTAAAATATTTATTTAATAAAAAGTGTGCCTAAGTTGAAAGTAAATTTGCATAGGAACTATTGTAAATGTTTTAAACTGTTGTAGCCAGTGATTGTGATACCATTCTTGTCATTTTGTGCAGTTTGAAGCAAAAAATTATACTGATTCGACACACACGATAACGAGATGGTGAATAATTGAATCTACATTTTTTATCGGAATACAAAATTGGTCACCACGACAAATAATCAACCAAAATAATCATGGGTATGCTCGAGCTACGTAATTACCGCAATATTGCAGCCTTGTTGCTTTCTTGATGATATATTGCTGATGCTCAACTGAAAATATTTGAAATACTGCAGAAATTGTGTAGTAAAAATTTGTATAATGCTTTTGATTTGACAATTTTGTTCCTCGAACGCTTTATGCAGGCAGAGTTGCGTAGAACTTGATGCTTCTTTATAAAAAGTAGCACTGCCGCATTAGTTGGAGCTCGAATACACCCCATGTTGGCTTATGACGCACTGTCGAAATCTAATCGTCACAGCTTGTGTTGCGTATTTTATTCGCTTAACCCATAATGTAAATGATATTTCGTTATTAAATATTTTGCTATAACTTAATATATTTTTCAAATATTAGTATTTCTTTTATCGAAATCCGTGTTAAATTTCACATAAATTCTACTGTTATTTGAATTCATTTTCGATGAGGCTCATTTTCTTAAACTCAACATATGTACTTTTTTGCGTATATTCTATTCTATTTTCGTTTTCATTTCTTTACTACTATTTAAAAAACAAAGTAACTACATAAACATACATATATACATGTACTTTAAAATGTGTGGATTTTAAAAAGCTACAAATCCTTAAGACGTAGCTTACGACAATGTACTACATGTTTAAATTTAATATTTATTTAATATTATGATCACATCATTCAATCACTTTTTTTTGTGTTTGAACAGCTAATACTAAACTCGTTTACAGTGTTTTTGCAAAAATATGCTCATGAACCATAATTATACACACTAAATGTCTAAAAGAAGCATATAAACGCATGCATACGTAATTATTTTGTTTTTGGAAAAAATACAAAAAAATTGTAAAACCCTAAATAAATATTATTAGAAACTTACCTTCTCGAAGTGTATTTCTTGATTTTTATTACCGAATTCGCGGACAAAAAGAATCGTTATCAAAGTGAAAATGACATGAATACGTAATTATAAAATTCTATGGCTACATGCCAGCAGTCTCTCAACGTTAGAGAAATTCGAATTTTTACATTAGATAACTAGGGTAATTCTCTAATCGTTCTCGTCGATGCCGCAGTTAGAGAAGTACATTAGTATTCGATTCGGGAGAAACAACGCAAATTCAAATAAGTGTAAATAAGCAATATTCCAAATCATAAATTATTTTTAAGTTCAAATAATTCATTATTATTTAATTGCCATGGAACGGATTTTATGGAAATTACCTTTTTTTCTGCTAAAGAGATAGAGTTTATTCGATTAAGAATGTCCACGAATTAGCTTTCCCCCAATTCCATATATGCACATTTGATGTTGCCTTTTTTTTGCCTTTTTTAAGATATTTTCCCTTTTTTTTGCCTATTGTACCTTTAAAAAAGTGATTATAGCGAAGAGAAAAACCTTATTCCTGATATTATAAAAGTTTCAAACGTTCCATATTTAAATTGAGCGCCACTTGTATCAACTCACGTCCAGCGCACGTTTAGTACATTCAAAGCTGTGTTAAAAGCCTGTTCTGTTACAAAAAAATCAAGTTGATAATGAAGAAAATCGATGGATAAATAAAGAAGTAATAAGTGGTCATACGAAAATGCGCAAAGACTTTTTGTATGAAAAATTAACAGGAAAGAATGTTACTCATACGCCATGTACACCTGAAAATATCTCGAAAACTTGTCTATAAAATAAAAAAATAACTAGATTTTCGGAATTAGCGATCAATTCTATATAGGAATTGGATAGTGGCGTCCGCTGAATATATTTCCTGTAAACTAGTGTTATTTTTCAGTTTTTGTCCTTTCTTAGTGCCTTTTTTGCTATTTCTAGTGCCTTTTCCTGCCTATTTCGCTATTTTTTTTTGCATTTTCCATCCTATTTTCATATTCATATTCATCTTTATTCGGTCTATGATTTACAATCTTACAGACTGGAAGTAGGCTAAAAAGTATTAACGGTGACTAGTATATCGCTACCTTAATATAGAAAGGCCCTATCTGACATCGTCGCTGATATACAAAAAGCCGTAACTAACTAAAAATCGAAAATTTACGTTTTAATTGATTATGATGCATTTGATCGCATTATGTGGCCCCAAATCGTTTTATGCAATAAAAGATTTTAGTTAGTTACGGCTTTGTGCATTTCAGCGACGATGTGAGATAGGGCCTTTCTATATTAAGGCAACGATATGTACAATTACGAAAATAGGTTTCAAGAGATGATTTAAAAAGACTTCTTGGAAACGAAAAGTCGATATCTAAGCTCTTTGAGATATTGTTAAATTCCACAAGGCCTCGAAAAATAGGCGCAAAAGATGAGTAGTTAGTCTTAACGGCATTTTAAATCATCGGCATACAATAAAAAGCTGGCGTGTTTGAAACAGGAGCTAATATCGTTTATATACAGGACAAACAATAGGGGGCCAAGAATGCTACCCTGGGGTACACCTGATGTTACAACAAAGGGATTAAATTTACAATCATCGATATATACAGACAGAGTCCTATTTGTAAGGTAAGACTTTAACCAAGCTAGGAAATTAGAGTGAACACCAATGCACTCCAACTTGTGTAGCAATAATAGGTGTGGTACCTTATCGAAGGCTTTAGAAAAGTCCGTATAAATGGTGTCTACCTGCGAGCCATCTTTGAAGGAAGAAACACAAAATTCTGAAAAAGAAGCTAAATTAGTGACCGTTGAACGACCAGCTACAAAACCATGTTGGTGGGGCTCAATCATTCTTTTGGCAAGAAAAAGAGAGTTTAAAATGTATCACTTTTTCGAATAGCTTTGAGCAGACAGACAGTTTCGAAATAGGCCTATAATTTGTGATATCCTTTCTATTTCCAGATTTAAAGGCTGGGGTTATAGAGGCAATTTTCCATCTGTTAATAAATAATCCAGTCGAAAGTGATAGGTTGAAAATATGACGAAGGAATACATAACGACAGACTACATCGTTTAACGAAGTGGGCACAAAAACCATCAGAATCACATTTCACTGTCGGAGTTAGGGTAGACATGGCGTAAGTAATGTCAGATGTCGAGACAATCAACGAGCCAAGATCTAGGCGTTGGGTCGGCCAGTAATTTCGTGGTAGATTTATAGAATCACTCCCAGAGGCGAAATTCGAGCTGAAAAATTTTGTAAAAAGTTCCACAGTATCTGGTAGAGATTTCGAAGATTGACCGTTAAAGAACATGCAAGTCGGAATATTAGAACTGCCCCGCTTAGAGCGTACGAAATTCAAAAAAGCTTTTGGGTTGTCTTTTTTAAGTTCAGAATCAAGTCTCCTAATGTACTGGTTATAAAGAAATTTATCAAGAACATTAAACTGTTTCGCATAGTTAAGGTATTGCTCTTTGAGATGAGTATTGTGAATATTTGCCATATGGCGCTTGTAGCATTTATATCTCTTATTTTTCAGATTTTTTAGAGTGACAGAGTACCAGGTAATTTATGAGGCTTGGAGGGTAAAGCAGCCAGTTGCTCAGAGAAGACTTCAGACATAATGCAAAGAAAGGTTTCATAAGAGGCATTAACATCTTTTGAATTGAAGATATCACACCAATTTACGTTATTTATAGCCAGGTTTATGACGTCGTAATTTGCATCACGAAAATTGTAGGAAATCCTATTATTTTGCCTTAAGGGAAGCTTATCAAAAAACTCTAAAGAAAGGGGATTATGATGCATATCAGAATAACAGATCGGAGTCTTACATGCAGAGAGATTAGATATCAAATTTTCGTCTACAAACACTAGATCTAATAATTTAGATAACTTATTGAATATGCAATTAATTTGCGTAAGATTAAGGCTTAAAAGACTATCAATAAAGTTTATTTCATGCGAGCGAGTAACGTTGATTGGGGTAAGGCGCCCCGGGTTTTGAAAGCATGTCCAGTTAATGCCAGGGAGATTGAAGTCGTCAAGAATACAAAGATTACAATTTCCATTACTTTCATAGATGTGTGTGATATTCTCTATGTGATAGTTATATAACTCATCTGAACTGTTAGGTGGGACATATGATACACAGATAAACAAAGAGCCGAACGAGCCAACAACGCGCGGTCAATTAAAGTATCGTGGTTGAGCAATTCAAAAAATGACGACCTTAAGCTACGCCTTAAAGCAATTAGTACACCACCCCCTTTGAAGTGGCCAGTTTTCTCACGGTCTTTCCTGTAAGTCTGGAATATGTTGGGATCAAAGTATTCTTCACTGAAGAAATTATTATTAAGCCAAGTTTCCACAAAGATATATATGTCATAATCCATACGTGAAGAACAAAGAAAGACTTCTTTAGCTTTTGTGCGCATTCCACCCATATTCTGGAAGTATATATTCAGATTTTTGCATGTATATTCGGCATTAGACTGTATAACACTATTTGGAACTTCCTTGGTTAGCTTCTGGTTGAAAAAATCGAAAGGGCCGCACAATGATATCAGACGGCCACACATTTGGATTTAAGATGTTGTTGTAGAGGGAAGATATCACACCAATCTTAAAGTTCACGCTCCGAAGACTCTCAAGTGGAGTTCCTTTTTTTACTAATTTGTAGCATGTAAGGTGTGTACTATCGATCTTTGCATGTTTAGATACATACGCAATAAGGTATCCTCAGATACAGACGGTTTAAAGGAGGAAATGCGCAACCTTCTTCTTCTTAATGACCACCTAGAGATCTGTATTATTATTACGCCCATGAACAATGTTTATGCGTTTGGGCCTATTTAAATTTCGGGCAGCAGCCCAATCGCCACCATCTTCTTTAGCGCCCGCAATAGCATCATCCGATTTATCAGCACTTCGTTCATGTATGTTGCCATGTGTAACATTCATACCACTTGTAGTTGACATTGTACTAACAGCATCCAGACTGACAGATGAAGATTTAACAGCAGCAGAATTATAGGAATCATCGGTGTTGATTTCCGCAACAGCGCCGGCAGGAGACCTAACAGAGCGATTGCCATAGATTGCAAGGAATTAGTGCCAGCAGCGGCAGCAGCAGCGTAGCTCATATCGAGTAAAGATGTTTTAGCAGCAACAACAGCATTAGCAGTACACGGGGTTGATGGCTTCGTCGTGGTTGTTATTTTATTTTGCCCTTTTTATAGTCCTTAGTCCTAAAAACCCGTTCCCTGTTTATTGCAAATACATTTAATACAAATTTTTACAAACAAAGCGTTTTGTTTAATAAAGTTTAAAATTCACATTCGAATTCCATTAGAGATCAACATAAGAATACGATTTGAGAATTAATATCCGTGCCGCTGGATTGGGGATTAAGCAACCTTATGTAAATCTGATGCTACCATCACAGAACTCAAACCAAAAGACCGCACCAAGTACCTTTGGAGTAATCCTGGACTGCAAACTGCTGCATAGGTACAATGTGGAGGACAAGAGTGAAGAAAGCGAGTAATGCCCTCTACGCATGCAAAAATATGCTAGGTGTTACTTGGGGCCTATCCCCTGCCCTAATGCATTAGTGCTACACAGCAGTAGTTAGACCAATACTACGTTATGGCGCTCTGGTGTGATGGACCGCGGTGTGGAGAGAGTGCAACGTCTCTCTCTATTGTGTACAACAGGAGCACTGAGAACTCCAACGGCTGCACTGGAAAAAATCTCAATATAACACCTATCGACCTTGCTGCTAAGTCCGCGGGGATACTGATTGCAACAGGGGAGTTTAAGCAAAGAAACATTGGCCACAGCTCAATAACCAAAGGGCATGTAGCCACCACGGATTACATGGTACCTTTCTGTAACGGATAAGGAGTTTCGGGTTACTATCGAAGAAAACGGATGGCGTAGGGGCATGAAGCCTAGCCGTAATACTTTTACTTTCTTCACAGACTGCTCAAAAATGAATGATGGAATAGGAGCGGGAGTGTACTGTTCAGAACTTAGTGTTCGTCGGCCAATCAAGCTGCCGGATCACTGCAGTATATTCCAGGCAGAGTTTTTCGCAGTGAGAAAACCCGCTGAGCTAGCCTACTCAATGACTGGAAACAACTCTAAAGTTAACATATACGTAGATAGTCAAGCAGCGATTAAGGCTATAAGCTCATACCAATTTACATCACAAAATGTCCTTAGAAGCAGGGAAGCCATAAATGGGGCAGCAGCAACCAGGCGGCAGGCTGCATATTTATTGGGTCCCTGGCCACAAGGGCATTACAGGTATCGAAATTGTGGATGAGATTCCCAAGAGCGGAATCCCCTTGGTTCTAGAACAAGAGAATAACATTCCGAAAACGCTTAAAAATCTTTATACCGAAATAGACCAGAGGGTGAAAAAGCAGACCATATCGATATGGAATGCGCTTAACACCTGCAAAATCTCTAAAGTCATGCGCAGACTGGAAAACGAGACTTAAACTCGGTTTATACTATCGCTGGCACAAAGAGACTGCAGAACTATGATAGGTGTCCTAAAAGGACATAACATGCCAGCGCATGCAAGCAAAATGGGGGTTGCTGTCAGGGAAGTTTGCAGGAAATACATGGGGACGAGAACAAGGGAGACCCTAGAACACATCCTATGACATTGTCCTGCTGTATTAAAAACACCATTAAAATATCTCGGAGCTTCAGAGTTTAATCATCTTGAAGACGTGACAACTTGGGCTTCAAGCACTGGTGAAATTCTCAACAAGCGTAGACATCCTAAATGATGCATACTTCGAATATATTTAACTGAACCTCTATCTCCATCTGGCATCACTAGAGACCTATTGGTCTATGTGGGGCACTCAGCCGGCCAAAATAACCTAACCTAACCTATTTAAGAATGCGTTGAAATAAATACATCAAAAATATTTTAGGAAATAGCCTTATGTCCATATAGACCGAGCTACATAAAGTGCACATTTCTTTTCAACACAGATTTGAATACATTTTAAATAATACATAATACAAAATCCAGCACCTGCCATACATGATAGGGCCATAAGAAGTTATTCGATTTGATCGCCTTTCATTCACTTTTCAATGCTATAACTTCATCTGTAACGCGAGTTATTAAAGGGTCTAGGACGTTATACTCTAATTTCGAGCTCCATAAGTTCCGCAATGTGTTCACAGCATTTTCTTTGGGCGTGCCTGGAAAACATAAAATTAATTTATTAAAATTGCTAGCAACCCTGCCAGCAATTGCAAGAGAATTTTATCGCCTATCGCTAAGATGTCACTATTTTGTCACCATTGTAAGTTAAAAAGGGGATAGTAAAAGCTCAGTTATGCAAGACTTAGACTTGACTTGACTTGAAAATTGTATATCTGGCAAATGAGCAGCGCGTGTATCTAGTTACCAAAAAAACACAACTTCACTTAGAAACTTGGAGAACTATATATTTTTGATTTATAACCCGGCTTTTAGATGAGACAATTTTGCCTCGCCAATAGCACTACATGCACATTTTTTACTAATACATTCACACATCTCTCATTTTCTTCGCCACTGTCTTTGATTTTTCGGAGACAGTGAATTGGACAATTCGGTCTCTTCTGCGTTAATTTGGGAAAAATACGCAAGGCATAATCACAAAAAGCTGCAGAAATATGAGAAATTGGTTTGTGTTTGGATATTTTAGTAAATAATCCCAAACGTTGTTGTTGTTGTTGTTGTAGCGGCTACAACAACCCCGCCCAGATCGGTTAGTATCCGAGTCGTTGTCGTCAAGCTAAACTAACGGAAGACCCAAGAAGCGTGCTGCAACCTCTATAGGGTCTGTCCAGAGGGACAAAGGCGTTAGTTGTGTCGGGTTATCCGGGCATACGAAGAGTGCCTGTGGGGTGTCTCCGCATGCAGGACACTCATTTGGCACATCTGCATCTAATCTACTCAGGTATGTTGTTTAACCTGCTGCAGTAGCCAGAGCGTAGTTGGGCTGTTGTAGTTCTAGTCTTCCGAGGCAGACGAAGCTCCGTCTCGTCGATGCCAGGTGGTTACGTGCCTAGAACGGCATTCACAGGTCTGGAGTCTACATAACTCGAGACTTCCTGTGAATGCCGCTCAGGGCCTGTCGGTAAGCTGACGGGTCCAGAGGTTGCTTTATGAACCTCTGGACTTCGTCCCTTAGTTCGTATAGATGCCTTCTGACTTGCCTTGGCGAGGGCTCCTCTGCCAGCAAGTGTCTGTTCAGGTGTCCACGTCTGTGGCTCCCAACTAGGAATTGCTTGCAGAGCATTGTGTTGTGCTCCTTTATGGGGAGCATTTTCGCCTCGTCATGCAGGTGGTGCTCTGGCGACATCAGAAGCCATCCAGTCGCTGTGCCGATCGCAGTGTTCTGAGTCGTCTGCAGCTTCATTCACTGCGTCCTATTAGTCCCCGGCGACCAACTGGTGCTGTGTAATTTAAAACCGGCCGGCCAATTGCCTTGTATGTTGCCAGCAACGTTTCTTTGTCTTTGCCCCAAGTACTGCCGGCTAGCGACTTGAGGACCTTGTTGCGGCTCTGTACTTTGTTGACAATTGCGGTTGCGTGTGCAGAGGAGAGCAGACTGTCGAAGGTTGCTCCGAGTATTTTGGGGTTATTCACCGTCGGAATTGGTGTGTCATCGACGTGACGTGACGTGTCATAATAGGGGGGGTTAATCTTGCATAACCCAGCTTTAACTCATTACCCAAAAACAACATACACTTTTAGCGAAATTTTATTCGTTAATTCGTTCGTATTATTATTTCCATTTCATTTCATTTCATTTTCATTAAGTAATTACAAATTTTCAATTAAATAAAGAAAATTTTCAGTTTATAAAAGGGTCGTGTTTTTGTGTAACCAATTTTAAAACAAATTAGTA